CGTCTATTTATCTGTCCCCTTATCTTCGCGTTCTCTGCATTCAGCTTGACTAATTAGAAATACTCTTTATCCGTTGAGAGAATATATTCATTGTCCATTGAATCGGCTAGCGAACGGATGACGGTTAGAGGAACTGGTAACACCTCGGGAACGCCTTTTCCCGTTGTTTCCCAGTTTCCCGGTGTCACCGTTTCCCCGTTCCGGCATCGATTCCACGGATGTCAGACGCTCGGGCGAAGATTCGTCCGACTGCACCGACTGGGACGGCCGTCAGCCGCACGCGTGTCGTGCACGATTTTGTCAATGCGAGTTTCGAGAGAAATCAGGGATTGAGTTTGAGAGCTCTAGACTTCTGTAGGGAGGTTCTGAGGCTCTGGAATTCTGGAGAGACTGTCTTTGACTCTAGGTTTGAAGGAGAATGGGATAGAGCATAGGGTATGGGATGTAGATGGGGCATAGGACACGAGACTCATGGGAAAGGATTCGAGTAACGTTAGAGACGTATTTCCGACGGTTGACAGAGAAAGCGCGCGACTTAACGAGACGAGGAAAAACGCAGATGGCGAGCCAGAGAAGGAAAGAGACAGAGACCGAGGTGGAAAGAGAGAGGGCGAGAAGGAGGGAGAGAGCGTTAACGGGCTGGCAGGCTGGCTAAGCTAGCTAGCTAGCTAGCAGACTAGCTGACTGGCTGGTTAGCTCGTTCGCTCGTTCGCTCGCTCGCTGTCTCGTTGACTCTCACTGGTTTACGCTGGCCCGCTGTGAAATCTCACTGATCCGCGGTTCGAATGTTCGGCGGAGCGGCTTAATTCTTTGCTAAATTAAACGTAGCTGCTTCAAACTCACCGCGACGAGGGCTGCTAATCTATCCTTGGTCATGGCGAGGTTGACGAACTGTTGCGAGTCAGCGGATGTACGAAGCGAAACGACTAGCGACTAATCCCATTCACAATTTTCTCCATGTACGACGAGCACGACCACTAAAAACTAAAGGAAACGGACGCACTAGCGGCGAGAGACACGATCGTAAAATCGATATACTCGCGAACTCGCCTGCTTCTGCAGTGCCGTCCACTGTGGCGCGCATGCGCCGCTGACGTCAACTCGGCTCAGGACCGGCACTATTTTTCTTCGCCGCCCTCGCCGTCGATTTAACGCTCGCATCAGATTTAAATGCTTTTTTAATGCTTGTTCTTTCGCGATTGAATTAAAATTGTGTGTATTGTATAGACGTCGGTTTAATGTTCGTACTGTTATGTGTATGTACTGGGTACTTTTGCGAAAACAATTCATGTAATATCGGACGATGAACGTCAAATGTCAAACGTCAAACGTAAAAACATCAGACGTCAAACATCAAACATCAAACATCAAACATCAAACATCAAACATCAAACGTCAAACGTCAAACGTCAAACGTCAAACGTCAAACATAAAACGTCAAACGTCAAACATCAAACATCAAACATCAAACATCAAACATCAACCAAGAAATATCAAATATCAAACATCAAACATGAAACATCAAACATCAAACATCAACCAACAAACATCAAACATCAAACATAAAACATCAACCAACAAATATCAAATATCAAATATTAAACGTCAAATATCAAATATCAAATGTCAAATGTCAAAACTTAAACATCAAATGTCCGAAGTCAAATTTCAAACGGTCACACGGTCAAACGTCGAACTTCAAACGGTCAAGCGGTCAAACGTCAAACGTCAAACGTCAAACATCAAACGTCAACGTCAAACCTCAAACGTCAACACATCAGACAGCAGACATCCGATGTCAAACGTCAAACAGCAAATAATAGACATCAAACGTCAAATATCAAATATCCAAATTAATGCGTTCCTAAGCAATGAAAATACATCCGACAGCAGACGTCAAACGTCAAACGTCAAACATCAAACGTCAAACGTCAAACGTCAACCGTCAAATATCGAATATCGTTGATCCTTTCCTTAATTAAATACTCGAAACCTAAGGAAACGCTGAAAATATTCAAACTTTCTTTTTAATCACCCGCGCCATAAAGCGGATTTTAATGTGGTTTAAATTGTGTAATGTGAAACACGAAAAACGACGCATACTATTATTCGATATCTTTTCGGCAACGTCAAACTTCTCATAAAATATGCTTGCAATGAACACTATCTGTTAATGATCGTTAAATGTAGCTAATTCGGTTTCATTTTCCATTTTCCTATGCCATAATGAGTCATGCGGTATAAAACAACAGTGGCGACATCGACGGCGAAACCATCGAACTACTGATCCATTAATACCACCATCTCATCACAAGATGGGACCATCATTTATAATTTTGTGATAGTTGTGCTACAAATTAAAGAAACGGATAGAAAATCATTGTGACTGGAAACCGATGGAGTAATTTTATTTTATTTCCACGAGCTTCTTTAATGATTTCTTTCTGTAGTTTTTTTTACAGGAAAAAGAAGAATTTTAAATATACTCTTTATTGACATTATCAAATAATTGCGATATGCCACGCATCTTTGAATCGTCTGAACGTTTAGCCGTAAATGGCGCTATGAGCAATTTCTATCTCTCTCATTCTAACATGTAAAATACGGTAAATGTTCATTTCAAACGCATAATAAATGTTTAATTTTTTAATATATAATTTGACGCGTCAGGCTTGAACGTAAAATGTGACGGCTTCAAAAGAAATATTCAATTGTCATTTTTCTATAGTTTTCTTTATTTTCCTGTATACTTTTACATTTTTCATTTTATAAATATTCGTAGGTTGTTAACGGTTAAAATGCACCTAGTTGTCATTCAATGTTACAGATTGAGAGGGACACTCTTTCGTACCGGTTGATGACAACTAAACTGATCGTATCGGATGTGAACATCCTTGGAAAATTTCGTTGAGGACGAAAATTCGTTGATCGCCGGTTCCATGTGGCGCGCATAAAATAGATGTCGCTACGGCCGGTCATGTTCTTGTTGAAATTTTTTTCGAAAACCAACGATTTCCAGATTCTTTTGAAGATCGTGGGATAAAAATATTAAAATTGCATTTTTTCGAACCCCGCCGGGCAAACGGTTCCTTTAATTCGAATCCGATTGTACTTGGCGAATAACGAAAAAGGAGACCCCTACTCGTCGAGTCAAGGGAACGCCATTGTGAGCCATAACGACTGTGTCGCAGGGTAAGTTCTATCGGTCATTTTCACGTACACATCACTTGCCGGGAAATTTTGTACTTACATTCTTTAATTTCTAAAAATTTCCTTCAAGTTTCAAAATAACAAGCGCTCGGTTGATCATCGTTTCTGTGGCATGGGATACAGTAGTGTATTGAGAATATAACGTAAAAGTGGTTTCTAGCGTTTCGATGAGGGGCGCCATTCTCTGAGAACGTGGTGAATTTTCCATGTCGAGTAACTGCTCGGGAGCGCGGGATAATATCTGACGGGTGTTTTCGTGTAATCTTCCGAGATATATTCGGTCCGAATTTCGGTAGGTGGACTCATTGAACGAGTGAGAATGCGTTTCATATATTCCAGTTTTCTCTACTTCTTTGCCGATCGTATCCGATCACGTTTTCAGCGCGTGATACCGTCCGATTTAGTATCTTCCATTGACTTTGAAATTAATTGGAAAACACCCTATTGCCGTTGCCACGTGCTATAATTAAACCATATTTCGTTTATCGTGATGTTTAATCGGGACCGACATATAACCGTGCCATAACTGTATCATAACCGTGTTATAACCGTGTTGGTGTCTTATCTCGCGAGGTGGCTCCTAACATGAATATTGCTTGTTTCGAGTAACAGCAGCTCTATTATTTACTCTTGCCGTTCTCTTTGCAGATCCGTCGGCTCGTTATTACCACAAATCAGTGCGGATTAATATCAAAATGGCACAAGATGCTGATATGCCAACTTTCAAGTGTGTCCTCGTCGGCGACGGTGGTACTGGGAAAACTACGTTTGTAAAACGACATTTAACCGGAGAATTCGAAAAGAAATACGTCGCCACTTTGGGCGTAGAAGTACATCCTTTGATATTCCACACGAATCGAGGACCCATTAGATTCAATGTTTGGGACACCGCCGGTCAAGAGAAGTTTGGTGGTCTCAGGGACGGTTATTACATTCAAGGGCAATGTGCTGTTATCATGTTTGATGTTACATCAAGAGTTACTTACAAGAATGTGCCGAATTGGCACAGAGATTTAGTCAGAGTTTGTGAGAACATACCTATCGTGCTCTGCGGTAACAAAGTTGACATCAAAGATAGGAAAGTCAAAGCGAAGAGCATCGTTTTCCACAGAAAGAAAAATCTCCAGGTAATGGATTATCATAACGCGAATGCACGGTTATTTCAAATAATACAAGGTATTCTACAAGAGTTTGTGTAATCCTTTTCACTGCCATATTATTACCATGTGTAACAAAGAATTCACAAATACTGTTCACTACAGAGTCAGAACTAAAATATGAAACATATTGCAAATCCTTTATATGTGTTCAACTTCAATATGTAATTTACTTTCTACATGGTTGTATACCCCGTGTAGTAAATTCATCTGAGAATAGGTATCCTAATCGTTGTTATCAAACTACAACATATTTCTCATATTTTCAGTACTACGACATCAGTGCGAAAAGCAATTACAATTTTGAAAAGCCATTCTTATGGTTAGCACGTAAACTCATCGGTGATCCAAATTTGGAGTTCGTCGCCATGCCTGCTCTTCTACCTCCCGAGGTTACCATGGACCCACAATGGCAGCAACAAATAGAAAAGGATCTCAAGGAAGCTCAAGAAACTGCATTACCAGAGGACGACGAAGACCTTTAGTCTGTTTCGTCGTTCCTATCATCCGAACAGAGGCATACCGTGTACGAGCATACCTCGGTTGTTACGTTCTCGTGCCTCTCCATAAATCGAAGATTCTTTCTTTGAAGGAATTAAAAGATTCGCCAAATTTTGTTCGATACGGGAATACGTTAATAACGATAAAAATATTTCTGTGATTTCAAACTTTACGCGAGCTTTATCTTGAAGAAGGGATACAGGAATTGATAACTGCGTTTGCATGCACATGCATCATGTATGCGAAGAATATAGTACACATGACCTCTAATTTTATACGAGTGCCGAATGACCCGAGCGTAACCTAGGACTTAATCGATGCGGACATGTAGGCTTTGATCGATACATTTCAAATGTTCAAAATTTAATACGCTGAAGTTGAAAAAAAAAGAGTTCTTCGATGATAAACGTTGCGCTTGCTCTATATTCTTTATGCCTTTTTATTGTATTGTGAATGAGTATGCGTGAGTAGTCGTATGTTGTATAACACGACGTATTTAATGTAACCGACGGAGTGGTTTTTCGATAAATCGTATTGTCCATCAGGTTTCAGGTGTACCGTTGTGTAGTTATTGAATTTTTTTCTTGTCGATATCGTCGCAGCCGATTCAATTGTTCGAACGAAACGAATTGTTACATTTTTTTTTCGTAAATCACGAATATAAAGAATTAATTCCATGAGAAAGAATCTATCGATATACAACAGAAAACGCTGATTTTTCCTTTTTTTAGAGGTCACTGTTTACACGTACACTCAGAAGTACGCACATCAGATCAGGAATACACATACACATACACAAATACAGATCTAAATGTTTCAATTGGTCACGTATCAACCCCGCAAAGCGCTTGAAATAGTTGGGATCTTTCTAAATTAATAACATAACCTTTGCTATTAGTTTTACAC